CAATGCTGCATGTAAAATAGGAAGCCTGTATGCCCAAAACTAGATCCATTTAGGAGACAGTTCTCAGAAATTAGTATGAGGACACATTGAAATCAGTCAGACATGGCTTGAAATCTAGGACCCAGCATAAAATACCGACATGACCTTGATCTATACCTTTATCTTTTCAAAATTAGAAACCATAGCACCTACTTTATAGGGACAGTTAACCAGTGAGCGGTCTATTAATTGCTGTTTTGGTATCTATAAAGTCTGGGACTAAATACAAATACAAATTTCCCCTTTAGAATTGGCTTCTGGCCATCTCAGGTACCTAATGAAATGATGTGACCAGGAAAAGAGAATGTCAGAGACACATGTCAGTGAAGGGATATGGGTCTGGTTCCCATCATGGAGAGACATCAACTAAAGGGTAGAAAGAACACAGGAAGGAAAGTTATTCCCAAATCAAATTACTCCCTGGTCAAGGAAGCTAGGGGGCTCAAGTTTGTGTATCAGTCTATAGTGGGCAGTACAGATAGTGATGAGAAGCATGGATTTTTCAGTCACCCTGAATCCTAATCCTTGTTCCATCCACCATTATCTAGCTGTGTGAACTTAAAAAAGTTGTATATTTTCTCTGAGCTTCAGCTTCATCATTTAAAAAAAATAAAAAAAACAACAGCGTGATTCATTGGATAGAATTGTGTGATCATCTATGTAATATGTTTATCAGTGCTTGGCACATAATAAATGTTCAGAAAATGCTAGCTAGTAGAAAGAGATGTAGTAGAGTCTGTTTCCAGCCTTTGGTTCAGGAATAGAATGACTGCTCCAACATGAATGAGAACTGAAATGGAAAAATTACAGTCACAGTTCTATGGAGACCATGGTATCAAGGCAGGCACCCAGCAAAGCAAGGAAAAAGCCTGTATAGAGAACAAGGTACACATGAGAGATCAGGTCATAATAACAGGGTGAAAATGCAGTAACTAAAACTGGGACAGATAATCAGCTTTGAACTAGCAGCAAGTGAGACGCACTGGAGTTGGACCAAACCTACTCACAAAGATCAAGCTGTCAGCTGGTGATAGAGAAGATGTCTAGGAAAGGCAGACAGGCAACTCATAAGCATATCGAACCTGAAGTCAGTAACTCCTTATCTATCCAGAGATCATTTATTCAGTAGTCTCTTTGGCTCCATAAGTAAACAAACAAGGTTTTTGAGCATATCACAATAAATCACTGTGATATTATTTATCACAATAAATCCCACAGGAGAAATACTTATCTTCTACTCATAGGCAACTTTTCATCTCTTCATTCAGACCGTGTTTACTCTTTTAAACTTTTAAAATTGAAGTATAGTTGATTTACAATGTTGTGTTAGTTTCTGATGTACAGCAAAGTGATTTATAACAGACCCTGTTTGTTCTTATCTTATATGCGATTTTAATGAACATTTGTATTTCGTTTCTTAGCCCATGACAGATTTTAGGAAAAAGGGAAAACTTCTTTGGTGGGAATCCTGTCCCCAGAAAAGTACTATGCTGCTGGTGCTGCTAAGTCGCTTCAGTCGTGTCCGACTCTGTGCGACTCCATAGACGGCAGCCCACCAGGCTACCCCCGTCCCTGGGATTCTCCAGGCAAGAGTACTGGAGTGGGTTGCCATTGCCTTCTCCAAAAGTACTATAAAATTACATAAAATATAAATAGTCTTAATTTTAAAATGTGTTTTATAATTTTAGTTTAAAACCTTTATAAATTTGTCCCACTTAGAGTATTTGACTAAATATTATTTTGTTCCTTTGTTTAGTTTTCTATTCTGTATTAGGATTAGTCCTATAAAGAAAAGCTGTCTTGATTATTTCATACCAGGGCAAATTTCCCCAGATGCCTTGTAAACCAAGAAAGCATGGTGGATAATTTTGAGTCCCCTCCTCAAAACAAATAGTATCACCCACTGGATCAGCCAAAAAATCAGAGGCCACTTTCTTTGCCTCATTCTAGAAATCTAATCCGTCAGCAAGTCTTATCAGTTGTAAGTTCAAGATGTGTTCTGGATTTGTTCACGCACCACTCTTTACCTCCACCTTCATCACCCTTGTCCAAGCCACCCTAGTCTCTTGCCAGGACATAGCGATGGCTCCTGACTGCCTTCCACAATAACCCAGTCATCTAAGTGAGCTTTTAAAGACAAATATACGCCAATTCTTGGACTTAAACCTCTAGTGGCTTTATATCACAGTAAGAGAAAAATCAAAGCTCACTGTTCTGTTCCTGAGACCTAAGATATGATTAGTCTTTCCTCGCCGGTTCACCTACCACCCTCCAGTTACACTCTCCTACTCTCTGTTCCTTGAACACTCTGAGATCACATCCATCTGAGACCCCTTGCACTTGCCCTTCTCTCTTCCTGGAATACTCATGTCTCAGACATCTTTGCAGACAGCAGCTCAAATGTCATCTCCTTCCAGAAGTCCTCTCTGATTACTTAGTCCAAAGTGGCCACCAGTCATTCTATTACTTCCCCCTGTCTGAATATTTTGCCTTGTATTTAACACAGTGAGATATTTCCTGTTTATTTCATAGAATATGCTCTGTCTCTCCACTCTGGGAGGTGCACTTTTCTCTCTTAGTCACCCTGTGTCCCCAGTACCTAGAACAGTGCCAGGTACCTAACAAATGCATTGTAAATATTCATGATATGAATATAAATGCATATATCTGCCTCAAAATTTTTTTATAGAAAGGAAATCAACTATATATCTTAGAACATCATTACTGGCTACATACAAGTGATTTGCAACCCTCTTACCACTTATGAGGTCCTGCTAATAGCTGAGAACCTTGACCATGCCTGATAGCAAGAGCATGAAAATGTCCTTGTAGCGCAGTGTGATAAAGAATGTTTTTGAGAGAGATGAATCTGGAGAGCACATGCAGGACAGATCAGAGGGTAAAAGGCAAAGGGGCCAGTTAGATGCCTATTTGTCCAGATGTGGAGTGCTGGAGCCTGAATCAGTGGTTGTGAGAGGAACAGATGCAAGGACTATGGTGATGGAAGAACTAACAAGGGTTGGAGTCTGATTAATTTGTGGAGAGAGCTACAAGGGTGGACCTCTGGGAGTTCAAAATCTTGGCAACAATCTTCTCCCACTTATATGAAGCCTGCTCTATGTAAATGACAAGCTGCTTGATTTAATAGAGAAATATAGACTCATAAATTGATGTAGCAGAATGTTCCCTTATAATTTGATTTTCCTTACATGATAGTCATGAATATCATGCATTCCTTTAAAAGACTGGAAAGACTTATTTGATATCAATAACACATCAGTCAAAAATGTTACAGTAATCATAGCTATGTACTTACTATATGAATACAATTATTTTGAATGAATTCAATCAAAACCAACAGTTGAGTCTTTTTAGTCGTTTTAACACTTGGATGACTTGGTTAACTTTTTACTTTACCTGAACTTGGTATGGTCTATTAGTTCTCTATTGCAGCTGTAACAAGTTATCACAAACCTAGAAGCTTAAACACAGTTCTGTAAGTCAGAAGTCCCACACAGGTGGGACTCTGGGCTAAAACCACCATCTAGGCAGGCTTACTTTCCTTTCTGTGAGCTCTGTAATAGAGCTCCCCTTTCTATAGGGGAGAATACATTTCCTCGCCTTCTCCAGTTCCAAGAGGCTGCCCACATTCCACAACTTGTGGCCCCTTCCTCCATCTTCAAAGCCAGCAGTTCTGTGCCTATCTAACCCTATTTCCACGATTGACTCTCTCTCTCTGATCACAATTGGAAAAGGTTCTCCACCTCTAAGGACACTTGTAGTTAGACTGGACCCACCCAGAGCATCCAGCATAATTCCCCATCTCGAAGTCCTTAACTTAATCACATGTGCAAAGGATCTTTTGCCATGTACAGTAACATTCACAGGTTCTGGCGGTTAGAGTATGGACATCTTTGGAGGCCCATTGTTCTGATATCCTCATGAGTTATTATCTATTAGAAGTAATGTTTTTAAAGTGGTGCCTATTCTCTGTTTTGAAGCTGGATTCTCCTAGTGGCTACTCAGTCACAGGAGGAAGAGAAAAATCATAAACTTGACTTAAATGATTTTATTTTCAATTTTTTAGAAATGTATTTTATTTCACTTATGCATATCCCCAACTTGTTCTAAGAGGACTTTAAGGACTCTTATGGGTCCTTAAGAATATGATGAGGTTGATGTATCAGGTACTTTTGGAAAGACAGCCTTCTCTATTTTTCTCTTCATAAAAACCGTCCTGCAGAGGTAAGACCTAGCAGTTCACAGTACATGTTCTGGAGCTAAACTGGAGCAAGGGCTGGACCCATGACCAGCGCTGTCAAATTCCCTACTTCTGTGACTTAGCCTCCTCCATAAAATGAGTTATTCCTTTGACCGGTGTTTATTGAGCTCTTACTATAAGCCATCATAATTCTAGGCACTGGGGACTCAGCCTACACATGGACATTGTCATTGGTTATTAAGAAATTCAGACACTCTCAGCCCCAACTGCATGTCTGCCTCGGTCTCTACCCCAGAACCCTCTGGACTTCCCACAATCTAACAACTAAAAGGATGAAGCTTGGCAGAGCGGGGGCCCTGCAGAAGCCTGTCCCAGTGCTTCTGCCTGCATCTGTCCCTGTGGGGGTGAAATCATTAACGGTGCTTTCATATGACCTCTGGGTTCAACAGTGGAAAAGAAACAGACAAAAATGCCTTTATGACCCTGATAGAGGAGACAGACAATAAGTAAGGCACATAAGTGTATGGGAGGATGGATGGATGGGTGGGTGGATGAATGGATGGACAGATGAATGGATAGATAGATTGAGACAGACAGATCTTGCAGGGTAATAAGTGCTATGGAGAGAAATGTAGCAGGCAAGGAGGAGAGAGAATGTCAACTTGAAAATGTGACAAGAGAAGTCTCACTGAGAAGACGACATCGGAGAAAGGACCCGAGGAAGGTCAGGGAACAGGGCATGCGGGCACATGCGGAAGAAGAGAGAGAGCAGAGCGCCAACTTTCAGGGAAGAGCGTATCTGGCCTGGCCTGGGCACCGTGAGGAGCATAAGTGAGCCTGGAGTGAAGGGAGATGAGGAAACAACGCTAGGGCCTGCCTCAGAGGATCGTTGCAAGGATTACATGGATTACATTTAATTACTTAATTGAATGACCCTAGTCCTAACCCTTGGAGAAGGCAATGGCACCCCACTCCAGTACTCTTGCCTGGAAAATCCCATGGACGGAGGAGCCTGGTAGGCTGCAGTCCATGGGGCCGCGAAGAGTCGGACGCGACTGAGCGACTTCACTTTCACTTTTCACTTTCATGCACTGGAGAAGGAAATGGCAACCCACTCCAGTGTTCTTGCCTGGAGAATCCCAGGGACGGGAGCCTGGTGGACTGCCATCTATGGGGTCGCACAGAGTCGGACACGACTGACATGACTTAGCAGCAATCCTAACCCTTAAAGCAAGGGCTGGCATGTGGTTTTAAATTTTATATATATATAAATGTGTATATATATATATGCTACTGCTGCAGCTAAGTCACTTCAGTCATGTCTGACTCTGTGTGAGCCCATAGATGTCAGCCCACCAGGCTCCCCCATCCAGGCAAGAACACTGGAGTGGGTTGCCATATGTAAATATATATAAACCTATTATTTTTACCATTATTTTAGAAGTATGTCTTACTGAATAAAGTTAAAATGTCCCCCCCCCACCCAGGGCTATAATTTCATTCCCCAAAACACCCTTTTAGAATGTTTCAGTACCGCGGGGGTTCCACTGGGACCTGCATGTCCTCACTCCTGCATGAGCCCATATCTCTGGAGATGTCCAGATTTGGGGTGACAGAGATCCTTTCACACCCAGCACCTACAACATCAGATCTTGAATGCTCTTCCTCCAAGGAATGAGTTCATGATAATTTAGAAATTCAGAGTTTGAGTGAGAATCCTTATTACCCTCCATATATTGCCTTGGAGATTCAAGGTAAAGCTACATCTTCTACCATTCTCCTTTGCAGTTCTTGTCTTTCCTTCTTCTCTACATATCCTGCCCACCACTCTGTGCTTACCGAGGGATTTTAGAGCTTTCCCTAGCGCTTTTCCTAGGCTGTGCTCAGCAGTCTCCTGGAATCCTCCCAATCAGCAGTGCCTTTTCCATGCTGAGTGGTGGCCCTTATTTCAGTCACTAAGCAGCTCCATTTCTAGGGGAAGGTATTCGATCTGTGATATGGGGTGTCCGAAGCATTGTAACATCTCCACTGAATCCCACAACACACACACCAACACACACACACTACTAGGATGTCCTGTCCCACAAGTTCAGAGCATAAATATGGTCATATCACCTTTCTTTTGTATTTGAATACTCAAAACACCCTCATGCCCTATTAGCAAGAAGTGATATCTTGAGACATCCTCGACTCTAACTAGTCCAGTGATCTCCTAAGAGCTTATACAATGCACCAGCGTTCAGACCTGCCCCTCCACACCAAGTTGAAACAAGTGGATGGATGAGCCTAGAGCTGCCGTGTCTTCTCCCCAGTGTCACCATGGAGACTGGTTCTGCCCATTCCTTCCCATGCCTGTCCCCTTATTTTTACTCTGAAATTACAGGTCTTTCCAATGACACCCTTGTTCTCAGGAATTCTCCCCTATATTCTTTTCACTGTGCTAGGATAGCTGACCCAGAAGAGCTATTTTTATGAGCGATGCACTCTGTAAGACCTAGCCCTGTGTCACAAACGTTAAGATCTCAGTCCCAGATCCTCAGCCTAGATGTCTCCTTTCCATAATGTTGACTTTATTTTAGGAATCGCATAACCCTTCACTGTCCTGGGCTTAATGGGAGCCCTCCACCTCCCCTTCTTCAGCATCTCTACCCAACCAGACCTCAGGGAACAGAATTTGGAATGTGGGCCTCATGTCTTCCAAAATGCCTTGGGCTCTTATACAAGTCAATTGTCATCTGCTCCCTTGCCTCCAAATCAATTTCCCCAAGTAGCAGGCTTGCTGGATTGACAAAATTCAGATCTACCCCAACTCCCACCCCCAGAACAATGACTGCTTCTGAGCTCTATATTAAACCATTATAGGGGCCACTCAAGAAACAGCATGACAGATGAGCCACTGTTGATAATATGTATATCCAGACATTTCAGATGAAAAAGCAAAGGCTGAGGATAAAATCAGATAATGCAGTGTGAGCTATTTGTATCTGACACATTATTTGATCTGTCTAAACATTCCCTGATAGCTCAGCTGGTAAAGAATCTGCCTACAATGCAGGAGAAACCAGTTCAATTCCTGGGTTGGGAAGATCTGCTGGAGAAGGGATAGGCTACCCACTCCAGTATCCTTGGACTTTCCTTGTGGCTCGGCTGGTAAAAAATCCCCCTGCAATGCGGGAGACCAGGGTTTGATTCCTGGGTCAGGAAGATAACTGGAGAAAGGAAAGACTACCACCCCAGTATTCTGGCCTGGAGAATTCCATGGACTGTATAGTCCACAGGGTCACAGAGAGTCAGGCACTACTGAGCAGCTTTCACTTTTCACTTTTAAACAATATAACCCATTTCATTTATCTCCTCTTTTGTCTAATTTGGGTGAGCCCTGGAAGACTTGAGTAATTAAGATGTGCAGACAGTAACATAGATAGTGTAACTCCTCTTTAAATATGTTGGCTACTGACAGAGCTTTCAGAGAGATATTTTGATATAGAAACTCTAATCTCTCCTTGGTTAAAAATATTTGTGAAAAGCAAATTGCTAGCAGATGGAAGCCCTCAAGACCTCCCGCAGCAAGAGGAAAGTGTTGCTACTGTGGGTAAATGATGCACAAGGTCCATAGACATCAACCTGTTTCCTCTCTGCGCTGAAAGGAAGCGATAGCAGCATGCGTCATTACTCTTGATTGTGCATCACAGCACAGAGACATAAGGCTTTAAGATGCGCAATTTGAATACATTCCACTCACCAGAATTGTTAAACAGTTTAGGGAACAACACTTTGGGAGAGTCTGATCCCTGGCCAACAATATCCGTGACCATCTTAATCTCCAGATTCGTCTCCGTACATCTTTTAGTCTGAAGCTTATTGAAAAACCTCAATTTCCTCTCAGAGGGAGAACTGATTAGGAGTCAGCTCTGTCGGACTCTGAATCATGTCCGCCTGAGCCAGGGAGAGCAAACAGATTTTCATCTAAAGGGCCAACTCTGATCAATAACGGATTCCGCATCTACATCCAGCCGACAGCCAAGAGTAATGTCTGCGTAGGCACTGGAGGGACATGCGTAGGCTGTGGTCTGACTCATTCACCTCCCTGCTCCCAGGGCTTTGAGCAGTACGCCGCTCACAGAAGGTGCTCAGTCACAATGTGTGAATGAATAAATGGATGAACTAATTAATCTATCACCTCTGATTCCTATCTTTGAAAAAGTGCAGTGTTGTAGAAATCACACTCAGTGAAGAGATGTTAGTTTCAAGGCTACCAACTACCTGGTTAAGTCTCTTTACCACCACCTCTCAATATCCTTCTCTATAAGATGAACACAGCAGAATCTACCCTGATTAATAAGCAGTTGAAATAATGCACTTTACTGAAAACAACCCAGCACCAAACATTGTTCTGTAGCTGAATCCATCGATTCACCATGTTGCCGTCTGCGTCTCAGAATGAACTGGCCTCTTTTAGCCTGTCTGACCTCCTGGAGACAGGATTATTTCTCAGGTGCAACCCCCTCTGGGAAACTAGCTTCAGAAAGATGGAGAAGGACTAAGGAGCAGAATAGGGAATTTGCCATGAATAGACACATCGGTGATGAAATTGTTAACTTCTGCACAAAATTACATGGTGAACTTTACAATAACATAATAAAAGGAGAACATGAAAAATCTAAGTGCTACACAGTGACATTTAGATACAAGAGAAGAGGTTTCCAGAGGTGTCTCCTTGACAACCAAAGGCAGAGTGGAGGGAGTGTAACCTTCTGTAGCCTGTTTCTGTCAAAACAAACTATCACATCACTGCATCTCTTCTAGGTGGGGGGGGCCTCTCTGGGTTCCACAAAATAAAAATCATATTTATCCATTAGAGTAGATTTCATGCTCTTTAAATGATTCAAAAATGAACATCACAGGGACATCAGAGAATCACATTCAAACTTTTTAGGGTGGCATTCCAACTCCTCTGTGATCGATCACACACCATCTATCTCCCATTCTCTTTCCTCTGCTCAGATCTTTCCAAAGGCTTTACATCCACGTGAAATAAAACCCCCAAGCCCTTATGACACTGGCAAAGCCTATAGAATCTGAGTGACGTCACCTCCCCACAGGCATCTGCTGTCACATTGCCCCTCTCCTGCTCGTCTGTAGACCTGTGTGTTTAACAGTGACCCCCGCCCCCACACCACTGTGTTTGTCTATGCTTTGCCCTCATCCTGGGGCACCTGCCACCTTCCTCCTCTCAGGCCACCTTATCAAAGAGGGCTTCCCTGGCCATTCTCTTTGAATTACCAACTCCCACTGCAGCATCCTCAGTTCTCTAACCCTTCTAAGGGTTCTCTAACCCTTCATTGCTCTTCTACCATCTGACATGTCGTATATGCGTGTGTATGTGTGGGTGTGTGGGTGTGTGTATCTTTGCCCTCACGCACTGTTGCCCCTCCACCTAGGATATCTTCTCCCCTGTTCATCTGTTCATGGTGCCCCGGGGGATACTGTCTACCAGATACGAGTGGAACTAACTGGGAGGAAAGGACAGAAAGCGGGAAGGAGAAGCTTGCCAGAAAAAGGTTGCAGCAGAAAAGAACCGCGATAGGAAATAGGGAGAGGTGGAGAAATCACTAACTCTAGAAAAGAGGAAGAGAGTGTGAGGGAAACACTAAGCAATGACCTTCACCGACCTCAGCCTCTTGTCTCGGACATGCATTTAAAGGGCCTGTTTCTTCTCCAACACCCAGAGTGTAGCCTCTCATCTCTCCTCTCCTCCCGCCTTTCCGTCAACCAAGATCTTTCTTTTTTAATTTGTTTCTTACTGCAGTATAGTTGGTCTGCAATGTTGT